TATCGTCGCTGACCACCATCGTCCACCATGATCAACCACTATTATCACGATCGACCACCATAATCGACGCTCATTGTTGTCATCGGTGACCTGCTGCCTTCTGTCTCCACTGCCTCTATGACCGTCAGCCACTAATCATTATCATCTCTAGATTTATTTTACATCACGTAAAAAAAAAAACAATATTTTCATTTCTTTTATATTTAAACAACTCTAAAATATATTTTTTAATATTAATTTATTTTCAAACTATATTCCTTTTAAGCCAACTAAATCAACTCATAATAAAATTAGTCATTAATATGTTGCTCATATTTACATTTGTTAAAAGTTTTGAACATCAATTAAGGGGTTTTAAATTATGAGATGTGTGTACAATTTTACTTAACTCTAAAGGAAAAAATAAAAGGGAAATTTACATACATACCATTTTATTCATGTTATTTATAAATCTAACACCTAAAATATTAATATTACATACATACCACCCATATACAACTTTAATATCAAATATACCTCTCCTATAATTCATTTATACCATTCATACAATCCTATAAAATTTAATATTTCATTCCATGCAACTAAATTTGTTCTATGGGTATTAGTCATGTAATATTAATATTTTAAATATTAAACATATAAATAGCATGAAATAAAATTGTTGCATGTAAAACCCCCAAAATAAAATAAAATCAAATATAATATAAAGATATATCTAATAAATATTTTTCACAGCACCCTTTACACCCCTCACTTGCCTCATCGCCGCGGTAAGGAATATTATCATTTCAAATAAAAAATATATATTTTCAGCATTTTTCATCAAACGAAGAGGACAATCCGGTCCCCATCAGCCTCGGCGTCTGGGCAAAGAATATATTAATTTTATACTAAATCGATTTAATAAAATTATTTTTTCCTCCATTTACGGCCACGTCAGCCCTAGCATTCTCCTCTTCCACGGCACGTGCGGCATGCAGCTCCCACGTGCGGATCAGCTGCCCTGTACACCTCGCATGCGCAAACGCCGACGTGGCAGCAGATCTTGCTGTGGTTGACCAGGACTCAGCCCCGAGAGCAGAAGAATCCCGAAGGTCGAAACAGTAAAATAAATTAAATTTCCAGTTTTACCCTTCTGAAACAACCCAACGAATAGACGGCTGTGATTTGTCGTCGGGAAAAGGCGGGCGGGAAAAAGGAGAGAGAGAAACAAATGTAAGGGAAAATAATATTTTGCTTTTAAAATTCATTTAATGTAAAAGAAAAAAGAAAATAAAAAAGCGGACGTGACGGGGGATTGTATTCGGTTTATTTCGCTAGGGAAGGGATTTGAAGTCCAGGCTGGAATCTCATCTTTATCGGCTCAGTTTTTCCACCGGCTTTCTCGCAAATTGGTTCTTCTACTTCTTCACGCAGATTAGCTCGGCAGAGCGCAGCGGCGGCGGGCGGCGAAGCTTGATTTTTCTTGTCGTTTTGAAGGCGGCTTGATAGAGCGTTGTTGGAGAAGGAGAAAGGCTAGTTCGATTTCTTTGTGTTCTTGTTCATCTTCGATTTGGGAGGTGCCGGGCGGGCTAGTTGAAGGGATTGGGAAGGCGGAGCTTGCTGCACGAAGTTTTGTTGTTTTTGCTGGTTGGAAGGGAGAGTAACGGCGGCTGCAGTTAGAATAGGGTTGGAGGCTTTTCTGTTACGGGGATTTTTTGAATCAGGGCGGCTATTGTTTCCTCTTTTTGGATATTAGGGGCGTTCGATGCAACCCTTTGGTAGTCCTATTTCATGCCTTCGCCACTTCCCGGGGAGCTTAAGGAGGCTTTGGTCAAGGACCGGAAGCAGGACCGGGGTGCGAGCAGTGATGCGGTAGGCGGAGCGGGAGGTGTCGGTGGGGGCTCCAGCTCAACCGTTCGGGGGCGAGAGCCGTACCATGGGCAGCGAGACGTCTCTCGGGCCTCTCCACGTCGGGATTTGACAGGTATGTTGCGATATCCTCTTGAGATGTTGGAGATCTTGGAGATCTTGTAAGCCTTTTGTTGGAGCCATGATTTTTTATTTTGCCTATTTCTTGTTCGCGAATTTCTTCAAGGTCACTATAGGCACGATGGAGGGTATCAGCAGTTATATTCTGAAGAATCTAGTGGGCATGGTTGCACGCCTTCCCGGTCTGGGGATAAATTTTTGCCGGAAGAGGAGATCTTTAGGCTATCCTCTGGAAGGTGCGGCGGCAAGAGTACCGGAAGCGGTGGAAGAGAAAGCCGGGGATCTTCTCGGAGATCACCTTGCTTTGACTCTGGCGGTGACCATCCTCGGCAGCACCATGTTCCTCCCATAACTGCTCAGAGGTCTGTCGCTGTTCCAATAACACACGCATCTTCGTCATCTTCATCTCCGACCCCTTTGAAAAATCTTCCTGACAAGAACGATGGCGGTGTAATTGAAGGCGTGGGCACAGGCCAGAAATATGATCGGGACCATTCTTTGGGTTCGATCGCTTGGAAGCCTCTTAAGTGGACTCGGCCGTCTAGTTTGCCTTTGTCCAAGACTGTCCGATCTGAGAGTGAGGAGGCCAACGTAGAAATTTCGGTGCCTCAAGTGAAGGAATCTCCAGCGGGATCTCCTGTTACGTCACAGTTACGGTTGGATGATAAAGCTCCGAGTAAGAAGGCCCGTCTTGGCTGGGGTCAGGGTTTAGCAAAGTATGAGAAACAGAAGGTTGAAGGGTCTGTGGATGTTTCTAGCAATAATGGATCGGCTCAGTCAACCAACAGTGCCAAGTACATTTTCAGTGATTCAAGCCCTAAGATTCCTGTTCTTACGGGATCCATGTCTCCAGTTACCCCTTCTTCAGTTACATGCAGTTCATCTCCTGGTGAGTGAATCTTTTCCTCTTTTTCTCCACTTCCCGTGCAATCTACTTTATTCTGATCTGGGTATTCTGAAGCAACCTTCCTCTTATTACTGTTTTAAAATCACCTCCCATATCTACTGCTATCATTGTTAGGTTTGCTTTGGATGTATTGATTTTATTTGCACTTCGGATGAACCCATAGGAGTATCTACAATTTCTTTGATAATTGACGGGATGTGAACCTTGATATAGACGGTGCTTGCTTTTTCCAATTTAGCAAGGGTTTCTGACCTTGATGATGTTGTATTTATTCTTCGTGTTATGTAAATTTGGTTCCTTATTTAATAATCGACAGTTTGGCATACTTTCTTGATGTTGGGGACGTGTATTTTTGAAATAGCCATAAGAAATTGCTAGATCGTAATCTCAAGTGCCTATTATGCTATTTGTGGGTTCATTTATCCTCGCTGTCTTTTTTGCAACCACGTTTTCTTATACAACAACTCAGCTAGGGTGCAGTTTGGCTCTTATCATTATTGTATTGAAGCTATTTAGCTAGTGATCTTCTCTTATGGCGCATGATTGGAACAAACTTATTACTTGATTGAAATGTTTATATAATTCTTGCATACACGCCACTGCTTTTTTCTATCCCTAGTATTCCTTGGATGCGCATTTGATGTGAATTTTTTTTCTTTATTTATTGTAAATTTTCTTTTCTTCATTTAAATATCTAGAATTTGATTAAAATTTCATGTTAAGTAGACCCCCATTGCTTAGTTTGTAGAATTAGTTTTGTGAAGTAATCATAATGTGAGTTTTGTTGATCTTGTCACGGCTCAATCAAAGTTTCAAAATTTAATTATTATGGTCAACATTATTGTTCCAGGTCCATTTAAACATTTCAGTTAACATAAAAAATTTCAGTTGTTTTCTTGTTTGGAATATAATATCTAAAAGTGTTTAGTTTATTCTATATAAGGGTTTTTGTTTTGTTTTGTTTTTTAATTTTAAATTTTGTGCGTTGAAGCATAATTATTCACTCACACACCTATACAACAACAACATCAACATCAAGCCTTTGTCCCACTACGTGGGGTCACCTATGTCCTTATTAAAATTTGTGACCTATATCATAGGCGTCTAAGCACCATCAATTAGACCATGAGATAGAGGACATCCCATATAGGCATCATCCTTTAATGCTAATCTTGCATTTATCAATGCCAAAGTCAATTTTCCCCTTAGTCTCATGCCAATTAATTTTTCATTGTACCACTTGGCTTTTCATGTTTTTTCCATTTTGAAATCAAAGAAGCTAGTTTAAAAATGACTAGTAAAATTTGAAACCATGATCTATTCAATGTGACATTCAATTAAATAATTGAAATAAATAAACATGTATCTTTTGGCTTTGTTATTGCAAATTGTATTTTTTAGTATAAAACTTGAAATGCTGCATTTTGTTGAGGCTCTGTTGGCTTTGCATGTGTAGTTTATATAATGGAACATGAATTTATCCTTTCTTGTTGTAATTGAATGTTAGAGGCCTTCATATTCTAATGGTTTTGTGCCGTGCTTCATTTAGTATACTTCTTTTTTAGATGCATTGTATAATTTGTATAATAAACATTGGCCTTTCACATCAGTTCTTGTTATTCAATTGCCATTATGGTAACTTTATAGTAGTCTAGAAAATATGGTTTATGTTGATTATTTTAAAGATCGGATTAATGCTGCTATTTCTTGTGCGGATTATTTGGCTTTTCCATTTAAGCAGAACTCGTGATTGATGCTTTTAAACTCCTTTTTTTGTTGGTTTATTTTTATTTTCCGAAAAAATAGCGTTAAAGAATATGTTTACCTCCACCTTTTAGACAATCAATCTTTTAGGGTCTTTTTTGTGTGCTTTACATGTAAAAATTTGCACAATTGTTCAACCATTTCAGATTATTTTTGGTGTTCTGAATATGATTTTACTTTTCTTGCTTTCTCTTATACCTTATTGTTATGTTTCAGCTGGTACAGATGAAAAGCTCTCCATAAAGGGATTAAATGCTGAAACCGATCGAGCTCAGTGCAGTGATTCATTTGGACTTGGGCCTCATGATTCGTCAGAGGATATTTTTATTAAATTGGATCAACTGGATGCCAATTCCATAAATAAACTTGCTTTGCTGCTTAGTGATTTGATGCAGCCTGAAGATGCCTGTTCAGGAGATTCATCGTTCACCAGAAATTCAACTATAAATAAGCTGCTACTATTAAAGAAAGATATATCCAAAGAACTTGAAAAAACTGAATGTGAAATTGACTTATTTGAAAACAGGCTGAAGTCTATTAATGGTGATGGGCAGAGAAATGATTTTCAGGAATGTACATACACATCCCCAAAAGATGGTGTTGCACATCCTAGTGTAAAATCAGTTGATGCTTCAAAGTCGTTGTTGAAATTATCTTCTGATAGCTGTGCGGTGGATTCTTCTGCTGTTCTAGAAGGACATGAGGCTATACACACTCATTTATCAGAAGTGCATACAGCTGCTGTGAAGGACACAAGTGATGATCTCCAATTGATGCGTTTGGAGCAGGAGTATCCTAATTCTTTCACTCTAATGCAGCCTGCTGTGCTATTGCCAGATGATATTTGCAGTCATGAACAGGCTTCTTGCATGGACTACAGAGCAGAAAAAGCAGATGATAGTCTGCTTGCTTTTATAATGGCTTCTAACAGGGCTGCTGCCAAAAGAGCTTCAGAGGAATTTGATCAGGCCATGCCGCCTGGTTTTCACCAGTTCAATGTTTCAGAATCATATTTGTTGCACTGCAGGAAGAATTACATGCATGTTAAAGGAAGACTAGCCATGAACAAGCGTATATTGAAATTCAAAGAGCGTATTCTTGCGCTTAAGTTTAGGGCTTTACACCATTTATGGAGGGAGGATCTTGGCCTGCTGACAATGAGAAAGCATCGGCCAAAATCAAGCAAGCGTTTTGAAGTAAATAGCCGTTCATCGCATTCTGCTTTACAGAAGCATCGATCTTCCATCCGTTCTCGATTTGCATTACCTGGTTAGTATTATATTTTGACATTGCATTTTTTTACATACTTTAATATACTTGCTGAGTGGTGATTTTTCTTTTTTAAGCTCATGGAAGAATTGCTCCCAATGATAATTTTTTTCTGAAGTCTTCTACTGGTTTTACCTACAGTTTTAGAAGTCTAATTCTATTGTTTGTGAAGAATTTCACATATTCCCCCAAAATTGTGCCTATTTTTCAAGTTTTTTGTTATATCCTCATATTAGTGTTGTTAGTCAACATGTTTGATATTATTCTTATTAAAATTTCCGTCAATTTAAGTTTTATTAGCATGAGTTACCAAATTTCGTGTGGATAAAGTTGGGGGAAGTTCTCTTATATTAGTAACACTCTTCCGCAAAATGTAAAAATTGCATCTGAATTACTGCCAGGCCATTGTTTTTGTGGAAGTTAAGATGACATTGTACATTGTATATTTAAAATCAATCTCTTAATATTTTTATTTACTTCTCAAGATTTTTTTTTTTTGACTTGCATGTTGCATCAAAATCCTTATTTTTAATATTCATATGATAGCATGCGACTATTTAACTGGAATTGTGATGAAAAGTTGGCAAGGGTTAGGATATCTCATGCTAGGTACACATTACCATTTTATGAATGGAGGTGAATATAAGATATAGATTTGCTATATGAAATGTGAGGACATTACATCTTGAGATGAGAGTTGATGGGTATACTTATCTTCAGATAAAATTTGAATCGGATTATTAATATGATGTTTGTTAGTAAGATAATTATTGATAATGATATTATAAATGCGGTTAATGTATGTGCTCTTCAATTTGGATTAGAAGATTGTTTGAAAAATTCAATTTAAGTGAAGATTGATGAAATATTGCAATGTATACCTAAGGAAGAAGTGATTTTTGTTGGTGCTTAAATCAAAATAGAGGGAGAAGAATGATGAAATGTTGCAATCTATACCTGAGGAAGAAGTGACGTTAGCTGGGACTTGAATGAAAATAGAGGTTTTAGTAGGGATGGGTGTAAGATGGTTCTTAGGTTGAGTTTGAATGCACAACATATACTAGTGTGTGTGTGTGTTCTCAAGGCTTATGTCTCTTTGAAAGTTGGAAGCAAGCTTATTTGGTATAAGAATGTTTTAACTCTTTATCTTTTGTTGCTTCTTTCATTTAGGTAATAATAATTGCATGAAGATGCAAATAAGCTTGGATTGATGTTGCTTCATCAGTGCTTTGCTGTAATCATTCAACCACATCATATATTTCATTTAAAAGTAATTGAATGCCATGTGCAGAAGCATAAAATATATGCAAGTTTATTTTCCAATAAACATGTCTTATGCAGACTTAAAATTAGAAATATTTTCCAAAATAAACTGAAGAATTTGTCAAGGGCCTATATCCTCGAAAACCAATGGGAGATCTTCAAGAAACAAGCCAGTCTGTGTTTGTTTCAAAATTTATGGTTGCTTTGAACAACTCAAATATTTGACATCATTGTATTGACTGAGAGTTTTTCTTATTTTAAAATGCACTCAACAAACATTTTTCTTGAATCTTGTTGAAGTTTTGTTCTTAGTGTAGATCAACTTTACCAAATTCAACTTAAAATGCTTAGTATTAGGATGTGAAGAGTCAAGATGTTGATGTCATGTTTCGGACATTGATGTGTTATAGGTATCGGGAGTCGATATTGAGACGTTGTTGGTTGTTGATGTTGAGATGACGTTAGAGAAAGATGAGATGTGGAGGTTGCATAGGGTGGGATTGTGGGTGTAAAAATTGATGGTGTCAAGTGTCAATATTAAAGTAGTGTCAGACTTCGATGTTGAGATGGATTTGAAACGTTGATTTTGTGACAACATCAAATGTTGATGTTGAGTTGGCATTGAGCATTGTTGTGAGACCCTAGTCATGACCCACTAGAGAGAAATTAGAATGAGAATGTTTGAGGAATTGATTATTGAGTGTGTATGATTGATTTAGAGTTGTGGAGAGGAAATAAGAAATTTAACTTTTTTCAATAAGTAAAATTTTAAAAGAGAAATTAAATTTAAAATTTCCTTTTCATAAAATATTTAAGGAGCACTTTGGACGCATGGCCATTTTGTTTTTATTTTTTTTATTTTTTAAATCGGATATACCTTTAGTGTGTACAACATGTGTTTGAGGTGTTTTGGACTCGCGTCATGTTATAGAAATGCCATCCATAGCATTTTTTTGGAGTATAAGTGTCAGAGCATCATAGGGTTGTAGAGTGACTAAACACTCCCCAATTATAATAATATTCCATTAAGGATTGACATTTTACTTTATTTTAAGTGGCGAGGGCTCTTTTGAAATAAGTTGCAAGTTAGGTAAATGAAAAATTATTATAGTAGACATATGCCTTAGAGTTAGTTTAAGAAAGACAAAATTTGTGATGCAATTTTTGTAGGTGTGATGTTAATAGTATTGTCCATTATTGTTAGGAGGTATATTGATGTTCTTGTGATAGGGTCAAGTCTTTTATTATTATTATAACAAACGATGATATGAATGTTGCTATAATTTTGATTTAGGGTTGAAATTATGATTGAAACTAACTCGAAATGTGCTTAATTATTCAAAATTGGCATGAAATATAAATAAATTTTCTCTGACTTGAAGATGGATTAACTTCGATATATATGATATATATCACATGTGTTTTAACACATGTAAATGGAATACATATATTCATAAATTATATATCACATAGATAGCACGCACACACTTGAGTACACATTTAGTAGGTGGTATTCCGTTGATTTGGATGGGTTGGTTGATGGATTTGTTAAACCAATTATACCATATTGACCAAATTATGGGTAAAATCAAACAAAACCAAATCTCATTATAGCTTGGGCTTATTTGATTTAGTTTCTGTTTAACCAAAATTTGAAATTCTAACAAAGGTAGGCATTCTTAAGTATAATATAAATAAATACGATCAAATTAAATTATCTAAATAAGGAATTGTACGCTTGCCTTTTTAATTCATTTATGAAATTTCAAATTTCAATTGTAATTATATTATTTTAAAATATTTAATTGAACCATTAGCTTTAATTCAAATAAGCCTTACTTCCTTAGCAAAAATCGAATCTTCCCTTAGTAAATCAATTTAAATCAATAAAATATATTCAATTAGGTTTGGTTTTTCGGTTTAAGCCAATTAATGCACATTCCTATACACATGCATGTATTTATATATTGTATTTTATAATAACTATAAATAAATAATAAATACATATATGAGCTATAGTTTTGTTGGCAATTCAAAAATATTCTATAAATTTAATATACTTGACTTGATTTTGCATGAAACCTGACTTGAAATCTGTTTTTGTCAACTTGAATTAGCTTTCTGAGTTGAAATCATATCCTTTAATTTGGAGTTGAATCTGGCTTGTGTGAGTTCAATTCGATATAATCCTCAACTCTAGAGCTAAGTTTGAGTGGATGAAATAAATAAGTGCCTCAGAAGTATCTAGCATGAGTATTAAGGTAACATTTGTAAAATTTCAATTAAAATTGCTATATTTGAATGCATTGAGTTTTGCATTGATAAAAACTAATTGGTAGATAAATTGAGGGTGGCATATATGAGAGTGTTAATTTGGATATATGAAAAAACTATTAAAGATAAATTAAGAAACCATTGTAGTAGATGAATAATTATAATTATATTGATTTAAGTTAATGTAGTTGAAAACAGATTTAGGAGATTGTAAATGTATAGAAAAGTATAGCAAATGAAGCCATTTGATTGTCATACAAAATATCATCTATTAGACATAAGTAAATATGGATAAAAGTTGATCGAAGTAATTTGTGAAGATTATGTTTACATTTTTGGCAATATTAGAAGGGTGTATGAATGAATTGAAATTGAGTATTTATGAGGCTGGTCCCCCTAATTGGTGGGATAGGGCTAATGATTTTGCAATGAAGTTTGTGTAACAAGTTTTGCTGTAACATAAGTAGATTTACTTACAAAGAATAAATCTATATATACTCTTAATTCAGAAGAAATATAGGTCATGCAGCAACAGTATGGGAATTCATATAGTATGATATCTCTATCGGTTTCAAATAGGGATTGACTGGCAATAATTTTAGGTTTCTATTTTAGTGAAGCAATAGTTTTTCTTACATATATCTAATTTGTGGCTCTTGGCATTTTTTTAACAAGCTTTGGTTGATAGGCTCATCTCTAGGCGAGGAGTTTTCATATTACAAATTTGGGCACTCTGCACACTTGTGTTTCTTTTATTAAAATTGTACTGTACAAGTGCCTGCATTTGTTTTCCCCATCTAAGTTCATGTCAGTATATCCAACTTGTCTGCTTTATTCATTAAAATTTTATTGGCATTTGAATTTTTGGTCTCACTTTTTTTATCATAAAATATTTATAAACTAATATTCTAAGATTTTCATGAATTTGCTTGTGTCAAGAACACTGGAAATGAAATGTTTGCTTGCTGTGCACTAGTGAAACACTAATGAAAAGATGATTGCAGCTGGATTTAATTTATCTTTGCCCTTGTGACTTTGAGTGTATTGCCCACTACCTCAATCTTTAGTTCTACAAGCCCTGCTACGTTAGAATTGCATCTCATGTATGACCTGAATTTCTTTGATTAAAATTATATTCTTAATCTATTCATTGGTAGCACCAGTTTAACATACAAGGTATTTTGCTCATACAACAATGAGAATGATTTTCCTCCTCATAGCACCAGTTTAACATACATGGTATTTTGCTCATACAATAATGGGAATGATTTTCAATGTTAACCTGATCATAGCAAATGGCATGGTTGAAATCTGTGTGGACAATATCAGTATTTAGTATGCATTCACAGTTATTTTGATATATACCCTTGCATGGATTGACCAGATATCTTACAAATATAACTTTGACTACTATGGGAACCAGGTAGCATGTAAACCAAAATAAGGATTGCATGCAATAATTTGCCTTTGCTGGTATTATGGAATTGCATCGTTTATGTATCTCGCATGATGGAAACAAGCATTTTGTTAATTTTCTCTCTGATAAAATGTTTTCCGTAACACCAGTATGTATGTTTGAAGTGGTGGCGACTTTCAAGAATTTTGCACATATGTCCCTTTTTAGCAATTCATTCATAGATAATATCTGTCACTGTAATATAGTTTTGTGAATGTACCTATTTACACTTTGATTTGTAGTTATTTGGATAATCATCTCTCTCTCTCTCTCTCTCTCTCTCTCTATATATATATATATATATACACACACACACACACATGCTGAAACAGTATGCTTTCCTCTGATTAGTTGCACTTTCTTTGTCAGTCATAACTGCTTCTCTTTTTCTCCAGCACACTCAACCTTGGCTTTCTAAATGGCCAGACAAATAGACAACCATACCCAATTAACTTCACGATCAACACTTAAGCTCCCGACATCACTAAACTTTCTGTTTTACCCCAGGTGGTTTACTTTGTTATTCACAGATGAGTGCTTCAGCGGAAAGCGAACAAAAAATCAATGGCTTTGTTTTCCCTAGCAGTAATTATTTATGGATTATGCCCTTAACCTGCGTCATTGTCTTTACCACTGGCTTTCGGTCAGTTTGGAAAATCATTTTTTTCTTTTGTAGGCGTTCGTGACGTACGTCAGGCACAAGAAAAAATTAGTGCAACTTTCTAATGCATTTCTCAATATGTTCTGTTTCTCTTGTGTGTCCGTCTTATGATGCATTCTCTATTGCAGCTGGCAACCTTACCATGGTCCCTACAACAGAAATACTCGACTTTACCAGTAAGCTACTTTCGGATTCTCAGATGAGGCTTTACAGGGATAACCTGAAGATGCCAGCACAAATTATTGATGAAAATGATAGGAGGTACTCTAGATTTAACTCCAACAATGGTTTAATAGAGAACCCACCTGCTCTTGAGAAGGAAAGAGTGATGGTGAATCCTTGGATTCAGGATGAGAAGGAAGTTTTCTTAGAAATGCTTGCTACATTCGGGAAAGACTTCAAAAAAATTTCTTCATTTCTTAGTCACAAAACAACCGCAGACTGCATTGAATTTTATTATAAGAACCACAAATCCGAGAGCTTTACTGAAGTGAAGAAGCATCTCAAGCGGAGAAAAAAATTGCAGAGTCGACACTGCAACACATACCTAGTAACTTCCGAAGCTAGGTTTAAGCGTGAGACTAATGCTACTTCCCTGGAATTGTTGGGTGAAGCATCAATGATAGCTGCAGAGAGCAACTGCAACAAAAGAAACAGTCTAAAGCAGACTGGCAAGTCAGGTTACCATGACACCAAAGTTTTTCGACGGAGCTATGGTTCTTTAGAGAAGGCTAATAGTGAAATTTCTGGAAGCGACAGAGAAGTTGCTGCTGCTGATGTGCTGGCTGGTATATGTGGTGCTCTATCATCGGATGCAATGAGCTCTTGTGTTACTAGCTCTATTGATCCATCAGAGAGGTTGCACTTTGCATCAATTGACTGTTCTCTAACACCAGAAGCAGCCCATGTGATAGATGAAGAAGACACATGTTCTGAGGAGAGTTCTGATGAATTGGAGTCAGCTGATTGGACCGACGAGGAGAAATACATGTTCATCAGAGCATTTAACATGTATGGGAAGGACTTTGTTAAAGTTTCTCATTATGTCAGAACAAGGTCACGTGACCAATGCAAGATTTTTTATAGCAAGGCTCGAAAATGTCTTAGTCTTGATGTGATCCAACCTGGGTCCACCAATGGGGTGACACCACTGAGTGATGTTAATGGAGGGAGAAGTGATACTGATGATGCTTGTGCTGCGGAGATTGATTCAGCAATCTGTAGTACACAGTCATGCTCTAAGATGGATGTTGACTTCACACAGTCCTTGTTAGAAACCTGTAGCGACGCAGCTCAACAAGCAGATGCTGATAGGTCATGTGAGCAATGTGAGATTGTTGTATCCATTCCAGATGAAGTTGAGGGAAAGTTTGATGATAAGGTTTCAGTTCGTAATGACGATAAACTTGTAATTGAGCAGGGAAATCTTGAGTTTGGGAAGGATCAAGGGGAAATATGTAGTTCTGGTTTGAGAAGGAAAGAGCATGAGCAACTTCATGGAGCTGTTGAGTTTTTTGCGGACACTCAAACAAATAATGAGAATACTGATGAAATATTAAGTCCAGGGAAGCCCGCAGTTAAGTTACATTGTGAAATCGAGTTTAATTCACTGACTTCTGCAGAGGCACCACAGAAAGCTAACTGTGGAAGCTCTGATGCTAAGGAATCAAATAAAGAAGTGGACTCAAATCAGTTTGTTGGGCTGCCTGACCCTGCAGTTGAGAATAAAGCACATTTTAAGATTAAGGAAATTGCTAATGTTGGTGATTCCTTTATCTTTGGCCCAAATTCACATTCTAGTGGAAATTCTTGCAATGATGTAGAGCAAAAGAATGATGGATGCCCTAGTCTTCTCTCTTCCAATTTCCAGCAGCAGGTTCCCTTGGAGCTTCTTTGTTCTATGCAAAAAAGACCTCAGACTGAAGTTGTCATTCCTTTTGATGAGGCTGATAACAAAACTTCCATTGCCATTCTCAATTTGCAGAATGGGGGAGATAAGTCCCGACAAGAACCAGTTGGTAGAGATCTTTCTCAGAATCTGCTTAAAACCTCATTTCCAAATCAGATGGATCCTTCTTTGCATGTTGCCAGTAGTTGTTTCATACAGTCATTTACTCAGAATCTCAAAGAGTCGAAAATTGACAAAAAGTTGATTGATAACAATTCAATACTTGATATGCCCAAAATGGCAGATTGTTCTTTTGTTCCAGGATTGAACAATGACAAGTGTGTTTGTGCAGAGGTTTCAAGTTCCAGTCCTGGGATCGCATTAACCTCCAGGTTGGAACATAAATCAGAGAGACGCCTTGCTGAAGCTAAATCAGAAACACACAGAACTAAAAACTTACAAGGCGATCACATTGCAGAGTCTGCGGATCAGTCTCAGCGAGTAGGTGATTTGAAGTTGTTTGGTCAGATTCTTACCCATCAATCATTACAGAAATCATCAGAGAGTATAATGCCACTCTCACCCAGACACAATTCAAATGCAACCACTAATTCATCCAGCTGCTGGAAGGATGCAGCTATATTTGCGCCCCCAAGGCCTGCAAAGAATGGCCTGTTGCACCATCAGGGGGATCTACCTCAAAGAAGCTACGGTTTCTGGGATGGCAACAGGGTTCAAACTGGCTTGTCATCCTTGCCAGAACCTGCCATTGTGTTGGCAAATTATCAAGCCTCTTTGGCTGGCATGCCTTTCGTCGCAGGCAGCACCATTGATTATGAGCAGCAAGCTCAAATGCAATCCGCTTCGACGCCCGAGTTGCAGAAAAGAAATGGTTTTGATTTACTATCTGGTTTCCAGCAACAAGGGAGGATCATGCACCTGGGTGTGAACATTGTTGCTGGAGGAGGGATTATGGTTGGAGGTAATGGGGTATCCGACCCGGTCGCCGCCCTCCAGATGCATTATTCAGGAAGAAGGTCGAAGATCCTTGCCGGCGAGTTGGATTCATTGATGGGAGACACTGGAGGAAGGTAGTATTGTGGAAATGGAGGAAAGTGTAGTAAATCTGTTATTGGTAGTTGGCTTCAGCTGTATCATATAGTTAGTAGTTTCATAACCTGAATGAAACCGATGAGGTGGGAGTTGGGTTGGCTTGCTGTCCATATAGTGTTGTTGTAGCCTTCTTCTAGTAGTCTCTTGATGCTTTGAATTTCTTTTATCCATTAATTTCCCTCGGTCATGCCAGAGAGGTGTTCAGGAGCTATGATTCCTTTTATTTTTGTTTTATTGTCATTATTTCTTTTTGTAGCTCTCCATACACTGTCGACCAGGCTTCCCACTGGCTTTATTGTGTATTTTTACTGATGCGTTTGTAGTTTTGAATTGTAGTGGCTAAAAGCCTTGTTTGCGCATAAAGCCCCGTCTATTCAAGATGGTCTATGGCTTTGAAAATGTTTTTTTGACGCTTTGATACTTTTTTTTTAATTTTTGATTGGCAATTCACTGCAAATATTTGCTGGCCACTGTGTTAGGGATTGTATCTCTCCTTTCTTTTATTTCTGCAGGTGTTGTTTCATTCAATTTTTGGTATGAGAAAGAGTCAATTTGCTGCAATTGTTGCTCTTTTTTGTTCTTTAGACTGCGCACATATTTGGCTATTTTGTTTTTGCAATTTTTCAGAAATTTTATGAAAGAAAGTTGAATTTAATTAAATTTTTTATTATTTTAAATGTGATTAAGTTTTTGTTTGGGATGGTTTTCTTTCTGCTTATTATAATAGCTTTTTAGTACAATTTTTATATTTTTTTATTAAAAAGTTGATTTAAAAAGTAGAAAGAAAATCATCCTGAACGAAGACTAAGGTTTTGTTTGGGACAATTTTTTTGTTGCTTTTTAAAATAATATAAAAAATTTTTGAATTAGAAAATTGTATATTATACAGTTGTTTTAGAAAGCAGCATAAAAGTTGTTTCAAAAGAAATCTAAATTTCTCTCATCTTTGGTGGTCGTAGTAGGCTTTGTTTGGGATGGTTTTCTTATGGCTTCATGAATCAGTTTTTTAATATATAAGTTAAAATTTTTGTACTAAAAAGTTGTTTTAAGAAGCAATAATAAAGTTGTTCCAAACGAAGTTGAGAGAGTTTGAAAGTTTATATTTATGTTTTAACTCACTTCAGGCATATGGTTTATTATACATTCATTATGGTTTATAATACGTTTACCAGCAGCAAACAACCAAACAACCAAATGATCATCGCTTGTGTTTTGTTCATTTGAGAAGACGTTGTACATATGCAGATTTTTTAAAAAAAAAATTTCTGTAGAAGTTCAGTTCTCCTATGCTTCCGCTATCTTTTCAATTGAGCTCTCATTTCCTTAGCATATCTATTTGTGAGCCAAATTAGTACACGCAGGTTATCAGTTTCAAATGCCTGCTACGGCTCTAGACCAAAGCTGATTTCAGCAAAAACCAGAAGCAGCGCAGCCAAGGTGTTCGACGAAAAGCGCGGAAGTGAGAGAAGATTGTTCTCTGGCACTGTTATTGGTCTCACGTGATTCAGATCAACGACCTCGCACCAGCCAGTATCAGGCACTCAGCTTTAACTGAGATGAGAAACATAAATCCTGTGAAGAATTCCTTGTAAGAGTATCAAATAATGATGGGTTTCACCTTCATATTGGTGAAATTCATGGCTTCTTCTTCACGTAAGTAAGTAAGTACTTGTGGACTGCACGCATCTCAAAAGTAAAATTCATGGTGATTGGACATTTCATGGAAGGTATGTTTGGTTTAGAGAGAGAGAGAGAGAGAGAGAGAGAGAGAAGCTCAAGTCACCTATATGTGGATCTTCGTTCCTGCCTACATGTGCATGCAGTTATGCCCACATGTTAGGATCTCATTCATGCTCAATTTCATTTAACGAACCACAATTTCGGCATAAACACAACTCTCCTTGGCCTATTGGTTGAGAGCTTATGCTTCCAACTAAGAGGTCCAAGGTTCGAGTCTATGTGTATGCGTTGTGTGTGTGAGTTTGCCTTTATTGGCCTAAATGTCCCAAAAAAAAACAATTTCGGCATAAGTTGAATTTAATTTTAAGATTTTGACTTCACCAATGCATGATCACATTCATTATTTCAAATATTAATCATGTATTATTATATTTTTATATAATAATAATGATAATTACGATTATAATTCCTTTACTTATTACCCTTTTTATCAGAAAAAATTTAGTGTCCCTGAATATATATAATACAACATTTTAAAATGCATACGATGTTCGTGCACACTCAAGAGTAGGGGTGTCAAAATGGGTCTGCGGCTTGGGTTGAACCTGAATTGATTCGGGTTTAAATGGATTAATTCTAACACAGCCTGTTTTTGTAAACGGCTCAGGAAATCCAGCACACACCCAACTTGTGCGGGTTACGGGCTGACACGACTAGACCCACTAATGAGCTTGCGAATTGCAGACGTCATGGAGGAGCTTTGAAGGTGGACTGACGAAGTTAGGGTGTGCAAGAAGAGTGAAGAGACGGTGGAGTCGATTGGACAAGCTGGCGCCTCGGCCTAGTAGATGGAGAAAATCGGATGGCCGGACAAGTGCGAGCAGATGGCGGAGGACGGATGCGGCAAGCAACCCGATCCTTCAGATGGCAAAGGACGGCTCGCGACCAAGCATAATTAGGGTTTTCTAAACGAGTCGTTTTTTTGGTTTTCGGGTCAACCCGATTCGAGCTCGATTTTTGAAACGGGTGAACTTTGTCATCCCAAACCCGACCCATATGTCAAATGGTTGACCTGAATCCTGAATTTTTCGGATTGAGTTTGGAGTCGTATCAAATATTGACACCCCTATTCAAGAGAGGGGACTCTCAGCCCCCCTTTAAACCCTTAATAACCTTTATGATGGTCTTAACACAAAGATCAACCCACAACTAATTTTTTGCATTATAAATTTTTTGGTAGGTCAAAAGTTATGCTCCACAACGTAACATCCTGAATGTAAAAATCAAACTATGGAGAAGCTAATTTTTCTATATAAGCATATATAATTATTCTATTTCGTATAAATATACAAGACATGTAGGGAAATTTAGCAACGCCAAATAGACAGCATATCTGGCTGTTATCAGGCATTAAATGTATAGCATTAAAGTGATAGTGGCAATGCAATTTGATTGAGAAATATTATATATATTTTCAGGCACAAACAGCTGTAGAGATTTGCCACATTGATGATGATGGTGAGCCAAACCCATCACACAGCTTCTCTTATTGGCTGTTGAGATTTCTCACATTGATGATGATGGTGAGCCCAATCCGGCATAAAACTTCTCATATTGTCTTTTGATATTTGCCACATCGATGATAATGATGGTGAGCCACAACTTTAATTTATGCAAACATAAGATGTTGTCTTTCTCTTTATATAAGAAGACAAATTTAGGCTAGCCTAAAATATATATGGCACAAAATTTTAAAATGCTTTTATTAAAATAATTCATAAATATTAAATTTTTTTTTTGTGATTGGCATTCTCGAACCCTGAAGAGGAGAAATCATTATGTGTTGTGACCGGACGAAGAACGCCGTTTATAGATCAACTAGAATGCACCACGTCAACGGTATCGAGCCGCGGTACTGAGCGAAGGGGTGACGTGGAGCATTCTGGTTGGTCTCTGGACATCGTTCGATTTCCGCACAGTCCCCTTTAAACTGTCACAACTAACTTACGACGAGATTGACCAAAGATTAAATCTACTTATTATGTTTTCTTCGTTGGACAAAGCCCGAAGATGCTAATTTTCTATATAAATGTAATGATTTTCTATCATATAAATATACAAAATGAAGCTACCAAGACAGGTTGGGGCAATTTTTCTTATCCAAAGAGCCAAATAGATAGAACATAGCTGTTAGACATTAAATGTGGCATTAGATTGATAGTGGCAATGCAATTTGATTGAGAAATATTATGTATTTCTCAGGTATATACAGCTGTTGAGATTTGCCACATTGATGAAGATGATGGTGAGCCAAATCCAGCATACAAATCATATTGGCTCGAGTCGTAATCAAAATTTTAAACTTGATTTGAGACTTATTTCTTCAGATTTGAGACTATTTGTATGTGTTTAGTCAAAGAGTATCATTATTTTTGAATTTAGTACGTCAACTATTTTAAAATTGATCCCAAGTGATCCTTAAAGACTACTCGAGATAAATTTAATATCACAATTTCCATCAATTTTTACATGAGGGATCATTTGTGACTAATTTTGAATAGTTGAGAGATTAAATTGGAGAAATGTAACACCCTTCGATTAAATTAGTTACATACAAGTAGTCGAGAGATTATTTAGGTTTTTGTCTTTCAACATATAAAATATATTATATTTTTAAACAAATAAAATCACCGATAATGTTGATCGGTAGCCTTTCGGTGAGATTTATGTCTAAAGAAGCTAGTGGATCTTTAGTTTGATTTTTATGGAAATATTTTGGAGTTTATGCTAAAATGATTAGGAGTTTGAAGGGCTATATTGATAGGAATGCCAGGACTTGCCCACATTAGGGTTGATTTGAAATATCCCTTTGGGGAATGAGTTTTAACTAGGGTAAATGGATGAAAAAGCTTGTGAATGGTTAGCTTAAGATATTTACATGCGACTTGGAGTAGTTGGTTAACTTTGGTGGAGTTTAGGGGATGTCAAAGGATAGCTAAGGGAAGAAGGCTAGGTCCTAGTCTAGCCTAGCTTGGTTGATATCTCTATGTTGGATTTTAGAAGGGATGAGAGGCTTGGCTTGAGTGATGGATAGTCTTATAGGCCATTTAGGATGTAGGGGAAGGTGCTAGGAACCTTGAGAGGAAGTGTTTAGGGAATAGGAGTAATAAGAGAAAAAGAAAATAACAATCTCATCTCTTAAAAAAAAAAAGAAACATATTTGAATTAATCAAGCACCAATTAAAATGAAGAGAGTATTTTTTCATAAAATTATTTCATTCAATAATAAAAAGTTAGAAAGCATTTTAGCCCATATTTATAGGTGCTATAAAACTTTTGGATAATCATTTTTTGAAGAAAAAATGGAGGGAAAAAGAGCAGAAAAAAAGAGGAAAAGGAGGAGTTGATGACTATTAATGAATGATGTATTTCAACTACTTATTTTTAATGCTTCCTCCAATTCTAATTATATTATGACTAGCTATATAAGCCCTTAAGTAAAAAAAAGAAAATAAAAAATAAAATTCAAATTATATTTAGAATATTCTAGATTATGGATTTTTAATGGGCTCTTGTAATTGGAAATTTTTTGATCTTATTCTTGGACTTTAGCTTTAGATTTTGTAATTGAGGTTTTAACTTTATTTTGTAATTGAGCTTTTAGCTTTATTTTATAACTGAGCTTTTAGCTTTATTATGGTGATCCATAAGATATACTACATCAACTCTTTTGGGCTCAACTAAACTTTGCTCTATAGAGTTTTCATTTACTCTTATAGTAACTGTGGGGCTAAAATCTCTAAATCTATGCGAAATATATGCATCAATGGGTGGATTTTTCTTCGAGCAAACTAGAAAAAAATGCTCATCAATTGGGTAAATTAGTGTTTCCTCAACGATGATATATCAACTTTCAAGCATGAGAAATTATATAAGTGGGAAAACATGTCTCATGTTTAAGAGCCAAATTGAATAAGTGTTTGTTTACTAACTCCCCCGTAAGATAGAATATCTTCAATGTTAATATTATGATGAATTAACATATCAGATGATCATTAAGATGATATGCATTGAAATAATTTTCTTAAAAATTTTGAATGGATCACAAGCCCTTGCATGAAAAAAAAGTGAAGCAAAACATTGACATCTTATTAAATTCTTTTGTTTAGTTATTATAGTCCGCCTTAGAAGCATGTATGCCATTTTTTGTAGTGACTTGCTTTCTTATGGTGCCATAGAGGTTTTGAATATCTTAGGCAAATAAGAATGCAAAATCATTAAAATAAATGAGATGAGAGGTTGGACACATCAATTGATCATATGGTGTTTCTATCCATACACTATTTCAATGGTAAGGCCTTAATTGTTCTTTAGGTAATGTAGTTGTATGCAAATTCATAGATAGGAAATATATTTTTGTTCTCTTGAAGTATAGTACTCTCTTACCTAGGTTTTTACTCAAGGAAAATTTTTTAAGATAGGGTTACACAAATGATATTGGTCAAGCTAGATGGAGCTCACTAATTGGGTTTCAAGCTAACACCATATATTTGCAAAAATATACTAAATATTTTTGCTATTTATATAGTTGCAAGAATTCACTAATCACAAGTTTGCTAGAGTGACTCGTAAGCTTTTATAGTCAAGTCCATCACAAGAAAGATTTCCTTTGTTTTTTAATAGTTGATTATGAGTAGATTTGCTCATTCCCAAATTTAATCTAGATATAAAATATGATGGTAGTGAGCAATCTTTTAATGAGATAAATGATTTAAAAACTTATTGATTATTAGTTTAATATTTAAGAAAACATGATTGAGTATATGATGAAATAATGAGAGGGTGTGGATTGGTATAATGGTAAGAATTCTTAGACTAGTTTAGATTCAGCTAGTTTAGGATGATCTGATTGATTACTTTAGCAAATAGGATTTAAGTGGGGTAAATGGCTGGAAATTCTTGTGGGAGTTTAGCTTAGAGTGTTTACTTCGATGGAGTTTAGGTGGGTGTGGAGGTGTAGGGAATGAGACTAGGTTCTAATCTTTCCTAGTTTGATTGAGAGTTTTATGTGTGATTTTGGAGTGGTTCTTGGATCGAGTGATAGCTAGTGTTAGAGGACGCTTAAGGCTTCGTTTGAGATGGATTTCTTACTGCGTTTTAAAGCATCTTTCTAATACAAAAATTAATTTTTTATACTAGAAAACTACTTTAAGAAGTAGATAGAAAGTCGTGCCAAACGAAGCTTAAGAAGCAAAAGAGGGTGGAAAGAAGGTTGAGAGTAGGAGTTTAGAAAAGAAGAGTAATAAGCTTAAAAGCATAAAGATAATGGTCTTATCTCATCAAAGAAAAGACAAACTTGAAGCCACCAAGGATGGAAAAAAAAATGAAGAGAGCATTTTCTCCATAAAAAACAGTTAATTCAATAATGAAAAATTATAAAGTTTTTCAACTTATGTTTATAGACATTATAAAACTTTTGGGCAACCGCTTTTTTTTTTTTTTTTTTTGTGACGAGGAAGCACTGTCCTTAGGCCAGTGTAAACCCCGGTCGACCTAGCATGCAACCCACACCAATTTATACGGGCCAACACTTAAGGCTTTCACTGTTTGCCAAGGGATTCGAACCATGGACCTGGGCTTTGCCCAGCCGGCTCTTCACCACCAAGACAAGCAGTGGTGGGTGGCAACCGCTTTTAGACTGAAAGAAAAAAAAAGAAGAGAAAAAGGAATGTCTAAAAGGTAGCTTGGTGGCCATTAATTTTGGATAAGCTCCAATAACTTTGTCTTTTAATCTATTTCTCTATTCAAAATTATGTCATGACTGGCTAGCTATTCAAGTCCCTAAGTGGAATATAAAAATGTTAAAAGAAATTGCATTTAAAATATTCTAAAGTATGAGCTTCTATTGGGACATTTAAAATATTCTTTATTCATTTGCATGTGCATTAGTCTTTCTTCTTGTAATTAATACCATGATGTGCTTTGTAAAATATAAGTTAAATTTTTCATTAAATATTCTCTCTCACACTATCTCTCTCCATGCATATCAATGCCTCATATGAGTAATCATTATTATATTGTAAAAGATAAATGAATTGCCAATTTTTTTTCATGGTGCTAATAATTGAAGCAACAATAAAGTTAAATGAAAATTAAAAGTACATCATCTTGCATATCATTATTAATAAACGGGCTCGTGCGTCGCAGCTCGTTGGTTGACGTGAATTCGTTCCTCCCCGCGAGCCGCGTTCGAATCACCTCAACTTCAACTTCCATATATATTAAAGATAATACTTAAAATATATAATTAAATATTGTTTCTCTCTCTTCCTCTGTATTTGTGTGTGCACTTCAATCTTGCAATGAATAATCATTTTCATCCATAATAAATAAATAAATATTTAATTTCTTTTGATAATGCTCCAATGCATGTTCAAGGCCCATCACAATTGAGAACATCTTGTTTTTAAAATTCTTCTTTTTAAAAGAAATTTAAGAAAATAAATTGAAAATTAGATAATAGTCTTTTGACTAATATTATCCATCTTTAATTAGAATCCTTTAATGGTCATAAACCATCCTTTATGCTTTATTTTATTTTTAACAATCTAATTTATACACAGCTTTGATCATCTCATCCAAATATTTTACCAGCTTAAGGTTAATTTACTGATTTAGATAAGAAATTAATATTTCAATAAATGGAAATTAGCATTTTTAAATGATCCCAAGAAGATAAAGATCATAAGGCAGTGACTGTTGATCACAGAACTTTCCAAAATATTCTCATCTATACAAATGTTCCTTTGTTTCTTATGTCCAATAATATTAAAACTAACAGCCACACATGCAAATGGGGAAGCTTGCAATTGGTTGAAATTCATACAACAACAACAATAATAATATCAAGCTTTTATTCCAATATGTGGGGTTGGCTACATGAATCCCTTTTTCTAGGGGTGCCAATATTTAACATGACCCGAAAACCTGACTCAAACCCTACCCAAAAATTTTAGGTTAGGGTCAACCCGGACCCGAAATGGGTCGGGTTCGGGTTCAGGAAATTGACCCATTTCAAAAGCAGGGTCGGTTTGACCCAGTAACCCGAAATTGACTTATCTTCGACCTGAAAACCCATCTTGACCCGAAAACCTGAGATTGACCAATTTTGACCAGCTTTTAACCTGAAAATCGCAAATTGACCCATTTTTTGACCTGAAAACTAGCAATTTTTGGTCTGCTCCAGGTCATCGAGTCGTGTCAGGTTGACTCAGACCCCAAAACAAGTCGGGTTCGAGTCCAAAAAACCTTCCCATTTGCCGAAACGTGTCGGGTTCGGGTTGACCCGAATAGTGTTGGGTCAATTTCAAATTCGACCCAAACCCGACACGTGACCCGAAATTGGCACCCCTGCCTTTTTCTCTATTGTGTCCTGTTAAGAGTCAATTTCTCATTTTTTGTTGGCACAAACCACAACCTGCTCAATACTCGCACATCTAAAAATCAATTTTTCTTTATTTTGATTCATCTTTTTGTAACATGAATCATTAAGTTATGGAGTCTATTTTTTTGTTTTCCGAAGATAACACGCTTCACAGACGTAATCATTGGGCGCCTTCCATCTTTATGTTATTTCAAAGCAACAAGATATGTAATTCTTCACAATCAAATAAAAAAAAAATTGCAACAATGGTAATTGAGCATAATCATCAATTGAACGAACCACTATAAAACTCTGGTGTATTTTTATACATTAATCTACCTTTTATCTTTTTCATCCTTCTTTTGCTCTCTTTTCACTTTGGATGAATTAATTAGGTTTCCAGAGGCCCCACAGTAGGTTCTCAAACATGTCTTACTTGGACCAAAAACAAGCTCTTGTAGCTATCTGGGACCATTTCTATTCCTAAGATTCCAAATTGATGATCATAATAACATTCTCTAAGAACCACTCATTTTATTTTCCTCTACTTTATTTACATAAATATGCTTAGAACCTCAGCTCTCCAACCAAAGATCTCTCCCAAATCCAATAATGGCTATTAGCAGCTCCTGCTTCAGTCTTGAAGAGGCCATGGATAAGATTTGGTTCCACAATAATATTCTCTTCTTTCAACCTTCCAATTTGAACATCTTATCCATGTTGCAGAAGGATGGAAACATATTAAAATCTACCACATCTTCAGAAGGTAGCAGCTTTTATGAGGTAAATATAAGATAGAATAATTTAAATAAATTTTTTTCTTCAAGTTTTCACTTCAAAGTGTCTTCATAAAAGCTCCATATAAGTTTTTCAGTCTGTTGTGAATGAAATCAAGAACAAGAAGATTGTTCAGAAGATGAAGAATCCTGAAGGACTCAGCAGTCCAACAAACAAAATCTGTTCTAAGGAAGAAATCCCACAGCCAACACTGCAAGGAACGCCAAAGATAAGGAGGAGCCAATGGAGCTTATATGAGCTTAAAGGATTTAATGATCTTGGTTTTTTGTCCAGAAAGGAAAAAGTTGGTGACAGGGAGAGAAAGTTTGAAGAAAGTAAGGTGGAAGAAGTAAAGAGGCCGTATCTATCAGACGCTTGGTTCATAAATAGAGCTGATTTTTCATTGCTTGATCTCAGGATGTTGCCCAAAACAATTGAAGGAACTTACATGAAAAAATATTTGAGATCTTGGGCGCATAATGTGGCTTCTTTAGTTTGCTATGAATAATATTTGTGAAGTGTGTCTCTACTGTTAGCATAAGGTATGGATTAGAGCTGTATTAACAGGTTGTTTGGTAGGCAGGTTTTGTAGTGTATATTTTGTTTGATGTGAAGTGAACGTTTGAGTGGTTTGTAATGCTCCAGAATTTTAGTTTTCCTTGCATTTGAAAATCAGTCAAGTAAGATAGTTTCCAAATCCCATGACGCACCTGTTGCTGCCTCTCACCCTCATCTATTGTGTGTAATTGAGCCAAGGTTGAGCGATTTCAAGTGTTGTTTGGCTTGGCTTGTAAACTTATCGGCTAAAGACAAGCTGTTTAAAATATAGAACTTTCTTAAAAATCATACTAATAGAATATACATGACACTATGTATAAACTATGTTACAATCTTGAATCGTTGGCGAGGAACATTATGAAACTATGTAAAGGGTTAAGCAAACTTCACAACGTTACAAAGAACTTCAGGACATTATAGCTACCTTGGGTTGGAAGAATTATCTGAAGATCGTTTCACTATAGCAAGAGCACGCAAGATTGAGTGTTTCTTATCACAACCTTTCTTTGTGGTACATACACATAAAATTTCATGCTTATTCTTTCTATATTTAAAAGCATCTGAAATGTATGATGACAAACAAGAAATAGATTAGTACATCTAAATTACATCCAAGTATGTCATATTTTTAAAATACATATATTTCAGTTATTAACTGTAGCTTATGTAGTTCATCTTGCCTCTTCAGGATTGCTGATATTCTCATGATGGTAGCCACAGCTGAGATTAAGGAGGCAGAACCACGTTGAAGATTCCCTTCCAGTTCACAATAGAGGCAAAAATAGGACAAAAGAAGACCAACTTCATTAACTGCTATATATTTGTCTTACCAAATATGAAAGAAATAGATAAGTGTCTGATTATGCAGAGGTATATAAATTTACCATGCAATAATTGTCAATAAAAATAACCACATTAAGGCTTCATTTGGGACGGCTTTCTTATTACTTGTTAAAGCAGCTTCCTAAGAAGCATAAAAAAAAATCGTCCCAAATTAAGTCTAAGTATCCATCTGAACGGTTATAATTTTTTATAGAGGTGGTTGTACAAATGTTATATATAAATTATTTTTTTTGAAAGTTACTGTAAAAATAATTTACCAGCATAAACATTTATTGAAATCAATGAAAAAGCAATGACCAAATAGAAACTATGATTGCAGACTGAAAATCAAAATAATAAGAAAGTTGTCTTAAACAAAGCCTAGGAATAATAATTCAGAAGCCAAAAAGGGATAATTAGAAAGGAACAAAGTTCATAGGTATGCTCTCTTTCTTTCCCATGTTGTTATTTGTCTAGTGCAATTTAACCTTTCATTATGCCAATTGGCATTTGAAGAAGAGACAAAATTAGTCAGAATGTAGAAAACAAAGAGCAAGTTGACAACTAAAAGAGCTGAAAGAAAGAGCTTTTTTATTGATCGGTTACAAAGTCAATCATCTCTTCAATTATCTGCATAAATAGAGATACATTTTCTTCTTAAGATCCCATTTAAAAAAGAGAGATACATTTTTATCAGTCTGATCTTAACAGAAACCTACCTTTCAGTCATAGAACTATAGAAGCATATTTCATGGATTTCAAACATGAAATAATTAGGCTTTGTTTGGGAGGACTTTCTTACTACTTCTTAAAGTAATTTTTTAGTATGAAAATTAAAAATTTTTGTATTAAAAAGTTGTTTTAAGAAGCAGAAAGAAAAACGTCCCAAATAAAGCCTTAGTCTAAAAGCATAGAAAAAAAAAATACAGATAAGAATATAAGATGACAGCTTAGAGATAAGAATTAAATTTCAACCTTATCCAACAATCATTTAAAATATTTCCTTAAAATACATTTTCGTTGAAATTGGCACAGTGGCTAGCTATTGCCTAATATGATATCTAAATGGAACAATTATTACGTTCTCCGACCGGATGCAGAGGAACATCCGGTTGTAGGCAAAAACGTGCCTATACCGAGGTGTACCGATTGAAAAAACTCGGCACACCTTGGTATAGGCGCATTTTTTGCTTACAACCGGATGTTTCTTGCATTTGGTCAACCGGACCAAATAAAATTCCATCTAAATGAATATCTACTAACTGATTTTATTAAAAAAATATAAGGATTGATATGCATACTCTTATTTCTATATTTATGGCAGATTATTTTAAGAAAAATTTGATTAAAATAACTCTTAAAGTCGTTAAATATGTAATACATGAAAATTTAATAAAAAAAAATTATAATGCATTCATCACAGAATAAATATAATACTTTTATGATTTATTCTGATAAAAAATTTGATGAGAAATATTCAATATCTATATCATAGGAGTAAACAATATAACCTACATATTGTAATGCAAATACTTTACTATTGCATTATTCCTACTCAATTGAAAAAAAAAAGGAAAAATCTTATATTTATTTTGAGATTATTGCTGCATATAAAAAAAATTATTTTACAGTAATTTTAAAAAAAAATTTAAGTCTATTATATTATAATTTATATCACCATATTCTTACATAATTTTTTTTTCTATCAATTTATAATAATATGAATAACATATATTTAAGACTTAATGAGAAAATTGTGATAAAAAAATTATCATATATTTTGAAATAAGTGAAATATAAGAATTGATTAATTAATCACCTATTTTAAAGCAAAATTAGAAGCTCAAAGTCCACAAATTTTCTTCTTTTTGTTTTTGACAAATAAATTTTTAAGGAAACTTTTTTCCTCTAAAGAAAACCTACTTGGCCCCACCTTTTTCAACAAACATAGCAAAGATGATCTCTATGAAATTGCCTTTTCCATGAGAGACCATTCATGCAAAGAATCTCTACCAAATGATTTCTTTGAAGTAACTACTTCGATTCATTTTGGGGTGATTATAGCGCATGGAATCTTAACGTTTGGGCTACGTTTCATATGAACCAACTTATAAAAATAAAAATAAAATAATAATAATAAAACTCATTTAAATATTATAGTTTTTGATCTAATAGTTTAAAAAGTGATATAAATACTTATTTTATAAATACATAATTTTTGGATATTAGATATATATGCAATTTCTCTAAAATAAAATATTTGTTTTTTTCCCTTCCAATTCACAACTTTGCCACCATAATTTCGATCCACTTCCATCTCCATATTTTCTTTCTCTTCTTCTCCAATAAGAACAAAATAAGGAGCAATTATTACGTCCGGTCAAATCCGAACGTATCCGAATGTATACCGAGCAATACCAAAGGCTCAATACAAAGTTTTAGGTGATATGGCGCGTGATTATTGGTCTATGAACGCATTCGGTGACCGAACGTAATAATTGCTCCAAAAGAAGGGTCTCAATCTCACTACAATGAGTTCAAGCTTAGCATCTCAAGATCTCATCTCCAAGACTCCAAATAATCCAATTTTAAAATAAAAAACTCACTTCAAAACCACCATCAGCTCACAACATAACTCATATCTATTCATTAAAAAACAGCCCAATTGTAGAACAAGAGAAGAATCTTAGAAAAAGAAGAATTAATCATAAGAAACACCAAATCAACTAAACTAATAAAGTATTAATATCATTAACCAAAAACAACCCTCCATAAAAGCCACATATCAAATTTGGGGATCATAATAATATCAAAAAAATTAGTGCTTATTGAAGCAGTAATTGATTAAGGTTTCATTTGAGTCGGCTTTCTTGCTGCTTTTTAAGACAGCTTTTTAATACAAAATTAAAAATTTTGTACTAAAAAGTTGCTTTAAGAAACTGTAAAAAACCGTCCCAAACAAAGCCTAATTTGAGCTGAAAGATTTTTGATTGGATGCTCAAAAATCTATTGGACCACATGCAATTACTCATAACAGTTAGAAACTTGAATGAATACTAAATAAATTCTATTAAGATAATAAATTTTTTGGTCTATAAACTAAATTGTATGTAAAAGGTAATTGACAAGCCATAAACTCACAATATTTCTCCAGTTCGTAATTTCTTTCCAAACACCTGAAGCCAAAAAAGTATAAGAAAATATTCTGCTTTTAGATGGTTGCGTTTGTGGAATCTGCTTTAGCTTGCATGCTATTTGAATCAATGTTGTTAGTCCCCACCAAGTTCTGTTTTATCTCTGCGTGTAGTAACCGGCATAAAGACTCCAGCTTTTCCTTCTGATTTTTTGATTTCTCAACTTTCTTTTTCATATGTTCACGCTATGAAAATCAAAGAAACAAAAGCTCAGGAATTCTTGAGAGAAATTATACGCAGGAAAATTTTCTCTATCACAGAAGGAAATCAGAAAAAGTAGCAGATGCATATCATGAACAGGAAAAATATTACGCCAAAAACAAACCACATATTTGGGATTAATTATTCTGTGGGGATGCCGAACGTCATTCGGAGACCAATCAGAATGCGTCACATCATCCTTCGCTCAGATACCGCAGCTCAATACTGCTCGGTACCGGGTTCGGTACCGCTGATGTGACCGATTCTGATTGGTGTCCAGACGGCATTCTGCATCCGGTCTCTGCACATAATAATTTCTCTGTATTTGGGGATTTACATAGCATACCACTGAATTCCTATGTATTTTTTTTAACTAATAGCTAATTATTTTATATTTACTTATATAACATTTGTGTCTAAATGGCATCAATATGTATGAAAATGTGTAAACTTTATATAAATTAATATTAGTGATATTTTTTCCCATTTAGAAATTAAGATTTTATATAAATATAAGAATTTATGCATTAGATATATAAATATATTAGAATTAGGCAGTATGCATGAGTATCTTTTAATTTTAAATATTTTTTCTGTACAGGATGAAGAAATGGGAGACTTTAACAGTGATAATCATGTAGATTCATCAATCGAGAGAAGAAAAATTGAACTCAAATTTGCAATTTTTGGATAAATCTCAGACACATTTATGGTCCCATAGATGGAAACTTGCAAACTTTATGCAATATTTAGAAAAAGGTAGCGAAAAGCTAAAATCTAATCTGAAGTTGTGCAAAAATGCTTTTGTAAATTCCAAAGTAATAGGAAGAAAAGGAGAAAATTTATTTAGGGAATGTTGACGATTGAAGGAGCTAATGAACAAAACGCTTGATTAATTGAAATTATGCACCAGTGTGGGTGATTAAAAAAGCAAAGAATGCTGAATAGATGGATAAAATCCTACCTCTTCCACAAGTTTTACAAGTGCAATGTCCGACTTCTCGCATTTGCTCTTCAAAAATTCATTTTCCTTCTTAAGCTCCTTTATTAACTTCGCCATCTGATGAAATCTCAGCAAATAATTCTTAGTTGTACTTCAATTAATAATGAAAAATAGGATAGTGAAACTTCTGTAAACTAAATACTTCTGTAGGAATGACTGACAAAAGGTAAGAGAAGAAATGCAATAAAAAATCTTTGAATCAAAGAGAAATAACCGACCAGAATAGGCATACCTTTTCCATTTCCTGCTTGAATGTTTCAAAGACCTCGTTGCTTTTCATCAATGCATCCTGAACACAAATTAACTAATTTTAGACTTTCACACAAATTTCCGGAATTTTTAAACTGAGAGTATTCTCAACTAAATGAGCATTATCACCGTCAATAGCCTTATCCCAGCTATTTACTGTTAGCTTTATGAATCCTCCATTCATTATATTGGGTGTTGCAAGAAAATAGTAATTTTCTAAGGTGTACAAATCTTGTTCCTATTCTTTCAAGTTTGATTATATTACCGTATTGTATTGAAGCACCTTCTTCGCTGCATGTTGTTACTAAATGTCTATAGTCTACTATCTTCAATAGGTACCCATAAGTCATCTAACAATCTCACTAAAGCACACTCAACTTGGTTGTTAGTCTATGTTTGTCTGATGCTCAAATCTATATTCTATAGTAGTATACAACAAATCTAATTACAGTTTTATAAAATTTAGTTTAAGCCTTGGTGATATTTTCATAATAAATAATCCTCAAGCACTTCTTTATTTTAACCATCCAACTTTCAACCGAAAATTATGTTCATGTTTATAGCTTCATTTCATCATAAATACATCCAAGATACAACCTATATTATGCAGAGTCATCATGTGATCATCCGATATTACAAATTGATAATTATCCATTTCATCCAATAAAATTGAATATAATGCACGCAATTTTAATTTTAGTGACATAAAACTCTTTCAAAAATCTTCTAATTGGTCTAAACACTCACATCAGAAGTTATCCCATCTATCAAAACTATAACTATAAATATCATTCACCAAGCTACCTCATACCTACCATCTCTTACAATTATAATTAATGAACTTATTGTTTATCCATGAAGTTACCTAAAGCGAGTGAAAACTCTTAAAGCTCTCCATAAATACTTCTAAACTCTTAAAGTTAGTTCTTTGATTAAAGAGAATTAAGCATAAAAAGAGAGATCACTTGTGATCTCCTCTCATGATTCTATTTTTATACACACTAAAAGAGTGTCTAATAAAATAAATAACTAATTAGTTTAATTCTCCTCGCAATATAAATATATATAAAAATAGAATGACCTCATCACAAACATCCAGCATTATGACACCAGAATCAGGAAGCAGTTAAAAAATTTTAAATTTTGGTGGCAGTGCTTCTTCTCCTATTTTACAAATTAAATGGCCATAATTATTTGCAGTGATCACAATATGTGTTGCTATTCATTTGTGGTAAAGGGAATGATGAGTATCTCATAGGAGCAGCAACCATGCTAGAGACTATAGATTTGGATGCCCGCTCAAGGAAAGATGGGCGCTACTGCACGAACCCTACTTTCGCAAGCTTAAGATCCTATTTTTCCTGAGGAAGATTGGATTTTAAATTAACTAGATTTCCCCCAATGATCGACATCAGGATTTATTTAGTTTTGAGGTTCTACTTCGGCAAGCCCCATAATTAATTATCACTCATAACGGGTAGAAGAGAACTCTAGATTAACGATGAATTATTTTTTTAGATGTGCAACAATTTTAAATTTTGGTTGTGGGAGATGGAGGTAAACACGATCAGGATCCCACGGTTCTGTCGTCCCGGGCATACCGTATGTTTCAATCTATCAACACTAACAACCGTTGATTGTAGTGTCCCGGAAATCTGATTAGCAGCCATAGGTTGCATCCTCTCAAGGATCCCAAGTAAACAGAAGTAGATAGAAGTAGGTTATTTGGTTTGTGTTGGGACTTGCGACTCCGCTTAGGAGTTGCCCATAGTTTAAATTTAGATTGGGTTTTGCAGTTCTATTTAGAAGTTGCCCATAGTTTAGACTCATATTAGGTCTTACGACCCCGTTTAGGAGTTGCCTGTAGTTTAATTTTAGGTTGGATGCTTATGGTTTTCATGGAAAGTAACCCATATAGCGGGTCTTACTACTTCATTTAGAAGTAGTCCGTATAGCGGATCTTACGGCTTCGTTTAAAAGTAGCATGTATAGTGGGTCTTTAAAAGTAGCATGTATAGTGGGTCTTACGGCTTCGTTTAGAAGTAGCACGTGTTATCAGGGATGCATTATTTGTTCTAGGAAAGTTTTCACTAGTACCCTAATTAAAGTGAGACTTATAACCTTCATTAAAATGGCCCGATTTATCAAGGATTTATGATTGGGTTATTTTTACCTAGAGGATTTTCCCTAGCACGTTAGCAAAAGTCAGACTTACGACCTCTATTAGAAATTGTCGGTTGAACTTTAGGCTAACAAGTTTTTAGTAGCAAGATGTTGGTAGCAAACGTGTAATTTTGCATTTAAGTGGATTTTATTACTTCTATTAGAAGTAGCCCGTTCTTACGACCTCTATTAGAGGTGACCCATAATTTAGATTTTGATTGGTCTTACAACTCCGTTTAGGAGTCGCCCATACATTATAGATTTGTTTCTCCCCTTGGGAAGGCTTATAACTCCCCTTGGGAGGTTGTGTGCATTAATTTAGTTGGGATTTACCCTATTTTAACAAGTAGTTACCTTTTATGCTAGCTTTAGAGTAGTATACGGGTTTTATGACCTCTATTAGAGGTGACCATAGTTTAGATTTCAATTGGGTCTTCCAGAACTGTTTAGGAGTCTCCCGTATAGTTTAGATTTGTTGCTCCCATGGGAGGGTTTATAACTCCCCTAGGGAGATTGTGAGCATTAATTTATCTGGGATTTACTCTATTTTAACTAGTAGTTGCCCGTTATGCTAGCTTTAGAGTAGTTACACACCCTACCACCTGACACTAGTACTTTTTTATTCTAGCTTTCAGTAGTGTACTATAATTTTGCTCGTAATAGTGCTCTTAGTTTTTTCTCTAGTAACCTATGTTTTACTATAATACTGTTGTTTGTTTAGTATCTTGCATGTTTTAATACCAGTTTTGCTCTTTCCAGTACTAGTTTTGTTCTGTTTATTTTAGTATCAGTTCCATTTCACTAGTACCAGTTTAGTTTTACCAGTACTAGTTTGTTTTACCAGTACCAATTTTATTTTACTAGTACCAGTTTTGTTTTATCAATACCAGGCTGACACTTTGCTTGTTTACTTGCAAGTGTTCATAGTCAGTACGAGTTAGAGCTTGTAGCTGTAGAATTTACCAGGAGCTAGAGCTTACCAGAAGCTGGAGGGGTTTAGTTTAGGATTTACTAGCTTTCTTTCTGTTTTATATTTTGGTTAGTTTTTTAGGAGTTTGAGTTATAGTGTGAGTTGTACCTAACGTTTGATAGTATGAACATTATTCTGTGTTTTAATTTAAATTACTTGTTTTAACTAATTATATTAATTAATTAATTAAATTTTTAATTAAAGTTGAATTTTAATTTAAATTAATTATTCAACTCGTTTAAAACTTGAATTTTTAAATGTATTTTAAAATTACTTAATTATTTAAATTAAATTGGTTGCTCAATTAATTAAATGAGAGTTTATTTTAAAATTAATAGATTTTAATTTAATTAAATAGTTAAATTTTATTTTAAGTGGCTAATCAATTTAATTAATTAGGTTTCAATTGACTTAATAATAATAATAATAATAATAATAATAATAATAATAATAATAATAATAATAATAATAATAATAATAATAATAATAATAATAATAATAATAATAATAATAATAATAATAATAATAATAATAATAATAATAATAATAATAATAATAATAATAATAATAATAATAATAATAATAATAATAATAATAATAATAATAATAATAATAATAATAATAATAATAATAATAATAATAATAATAATAATAATAATAATAATAATAATAATAATAATAATAATAATAATAATAATAATAATAATAATAATAATAATAATAATAATAATAATAATAATAATAATAATAATAATAATAATAATAATAATAATAATAATAATAATAATAATAATAATAATAATAATTTTTTTAGTAATAATAATAATAATAATAATAATAATAATAATAATAATAATAATAATAATAATAATAATGATCGTGGGAGTGGAGGCGGAAGGCTTGGCTTGCTTGCTCGCGGGAGTGCAACAAGAATGAGAACGGCTGTCTTTCTGCGTGTGAGTTCGAATGAGGAGTTTCGTGCCTTCGAGGGAGTTTTGTGTCGTGAGGAGCGAACGTGGGATCGTGGGATCGTGGGAGCCGACAAGGTGGAGTCATGGGTAGTGGGAGCCATTCTGGTCGTAGGTTTACAGGTCAACACCAGATTTCAGAAAGTGGAAAATTGAAAATAGTATGATCATTTCATGACTAATCAATTCCATGAACAATGAGACATGAAAATTTCTTATTGTTTGGGATTGCAAAAGAAATAGAGGATACAACCAAAGAGACTTACTCCAACTTAGAAAATACTTCAGAGTTGTTTCAGGTTGATTCAATACTTTTTGACTTCCGCCAATGAGAGCAATTTGTTACTCAGTATTACAACACACACACGGTACTGGCAATAACTTTATTTATTCGAAACTCACTCATTGACATGTCTAAAAGATGTAGTAATGTAGAAGTAAAATGTAGAACAAAAAAGATTGTTCAAGTTTTTCTTAGTACTTAACAAAGAGTTGGATGATGTTTGAGGTCCAATCATGGGCACTAAACAACTACCAAATCTTAGGAAGACTTTCTCAGAGGTTATGCTTGAATAAAGTAGAAAGAAAGGGATGATGGGATCCAAGGAACAACCACGTCAATGTTGGATGCATCTACCCATTATTGTCCAATCATCTAAAAGTAATTGTGGAGATCGTCAGAAAAGAGAAAGGCCTTGGTGTGATTCCTGTAAGAAATTAGGTCATTACAAGGAGACTTGGTAGAAGCTCAATGGAAAACCAGCTATTTGGAAACCAAAGCAACAGTTTGATAGAAACAGCAAAGCATATCTGGCTTCCAACTTTGATAGTGCTCTTATTCCCAAGCCAAGCCCATTTAACAAAGAGCAGATGACTTTGCTGTAGACATTATTTTGTCAAATTGGCAGTGGTAACATTATTAGGACATGTTTGGATGCT